AAAGGACGCTTTAATAATATATTTTAGTTAAAATGTAACTTCGATAATTAAAATGTTGCTATAACCAATAGAAGAAAAAAAAAGACAATCTTGAAAAGCAAAAGAAAATACAAACGCACGACATTCCATCATAGCTTTCCCTCGTGCGGCGGTGCAAAATTATGTCATCGAGCAATTTCCTGTGCGCACTCGATGTCCATTAAACACACGGCGCGCTCATTTAGACACTTGGTAATTACGGGGAAGCATTGCAAAGCGCGCACGCGCGGCCGAAATCGCGCGCCTCTGCGATAATAAGTAGCGACGTCAGCGACGAATCAACCTCGCGACGCGACAAACTTTTGTGCAACTTCTTTTTCCCCTCTTTAACGACTCGCAGTTAAAGTGCAATCAGCATTAGCCAGGTGCATCCCCGAAAATCCGCTTCCGCAGCTGCGTATTAGCCACGCCACTCCCACTCTCCGCCGTGCGACGCGCACACGAGCGCGCAGTAGCGACTCTTTTTCTTTTTTTTCTACGCGCGAAAAATGAACGGCGCCGCTGGAGATTGATCGACTTTGACGCCGAAGCGCAGCTCTCTAGCAATAAATTTTGCACAATTCGTGAAATCTCTTTCGCAGCACGACTTTTTTTATGTATGCACTTTGCGGCTAATTAAATCGAGACTGCGCGTTCAACGTAGAAAGTTCTGCGTGTGTGCATTTAATTCCACTTATCCACAATGTTTAAATTAATACATTAGAGGCTGCTTGAGCATTCATTAGATTCAATATTGTCAAAGATGCGCGCGCTCGTAAGCGTGGAAAATCTGGTGCAAACGTGAAATCCACATGGCTGCTAGAGACGATTGCGAGAAATTCTAATTACCGACCACTCTCATAACTCCATATCTGATCCAGACAATGCAACGTGCACGCTCACACACACACACAAACGCGAAGTCCGTTTCGCCACGTCCTCTCCCACATTGACGCAACGATTGTCCAGCCGAGCGATATTAATGGAAAACGCGATGGTGACGCGCGCCTGTCTTTCTGCTTTTTATCTCGCGTCGACACTCTGCACTTGGCTGAACTACAAACGCCTGATTGGCTGAGATAACGCGTTGCTTTTTCTCGCGGTTCGCAAGCGCTGCGGATGACATTTTTTTTTCTTCGACGAGCGATATGTTTGGACCGACTGTGTTTTATTTATTTTATTTTTTTTTTTTTCGAGGGAGAGAAAACTTGACTGCACTTGAATTCTACTCGTTACGAAACGGATTGCGTTCGAGAATTCACGAACAAACGGCCACAGTTGCACTTTCTCTACGCAGGAAAGCTGGTCTTTCGGTGATGCTGCGCTGGATTTCAGCGTATTCTTTTCATTTGCGCGAGGCAGCTTGGATCGTCGATAACGTTCCAATTTTCAATAACACGTTAACAGAGGAAAGATTATTGCGTGTAGTCGTGTCACAACTCATACTTTGCGTTAACGATAATTCTGCTTTCGTTCGCAGGGACCAAGAATGTACCATTCGGATAATTCGGGAGGATGAAAAAAGCAAGAGCCACGTAACTTTAAGAAGGAAAGTATATAATTCAGGTGTGCAGTCGAATACCTGGACTCGTGTTTGTACTGAACTGACTCGAAACTTTTTCACTGTGGAATCGATAAAGCTCTCGCGATAATCTAATTGAGATTTCATTTAATTAACCGCGCAAACGATAAACGAGCAATAGATCTCCTTAATTAGATCTGGACGCGGTATTTTTGCAACATTTACAAACGATTTCGGTTCCCAGCTCAGCGCACACGAGCGCGGCACTGTAAAACATGTAAGGAATACGATATAGCTAATTCCATTCGTAACTTTTACTTTCGGTGAATGTCTCTTTCGCGGAGGTTTCTTAGGTGAAGTTCACGTGGCTCAGGGAATTCCACGTAGTAATTTGACGATTTACATAACACGTTGACAGTCAGATCGTCGGATCAAGTTCAAGCTTTGTGAGATGAAATCTCGCGAATCATTTGCTACGTTTCACCGCGAAAGAGTTGAGAAACAAAGGGGTTCAATCGATGCGGTATGCGCTTATCGAGCACATAATAGCCGTAAATCAGGAAAGGGAGAGTCATGCATGAGAATCTCGTTGATCGATAAGCACACGTATACGTGGCAGTGCTGAAAATGGTTTCCCAGCATGCGACCTAAACAACTCGACACGCGTTCCTTCTTTTTTTTTTCCTCCTTCGCATGCAAACCATATAGCGCTCCCATTCGCATCGCCGCGGCTGAAAACGTAATGGCAAGCTTCGCGGAGTTCACGCGACAATTGAGTTCGCATTTCCGTTCGCCATATCGGCTGAAGAGAACAAAACGCCGACTGCGGAAGGCATTTCGAACTCGAAAGATGGATAAATTGTAGGTACGCCAAAGCGGCAAACAAGTGGGTTTTGCACGTCGCGTCGGCTCGATTTTTCCCGTTCACGTGGAGTTTGTCGATCGTCGCCGAGGACTCGCGCGAGACGGAGCGAAACCGCGAGAGCTGACCGTCCGAGGGCCGAAAGCGCGCCACCGCTGGCTTATTCAATGTGGTAGAGCGACTCGTTACGGGCACAGACGCGCCTGCATTACGGTATAAATTGAAAGTTAGAGAGCACGTACCTTGCGCGAATTGAATGGCTCGCGCGATCGGCGCATAAGGTTAGGGGCGATGATGTAATTCCGTCGGATTACAAGCCTTTCGATTCGTTTGTTGCAAGAAGCGAGGTGCATGTGCGCGCGTGCCTAGTTCATTTTTTTTTTTTTTTCGTTTCGAAAAGAAAAACCAATGTGACTTTATTTCTCGAACGACCCATTGTCGCATTCAGGAAGCATTATCTTGTACGGGGGAATTAGGCACTCTATTTTCGCATTTCTTTTTGCTTTTACGTACATTATTTTATTTTATTTTTTGTTCCTTTCGTCAAACTTTGGAAAGACTCGCGATTTCGTGAATTGCGAAATCAGCTGCGACGTAATTCGACAGAAGAAAGGAAGCACTCGATCGCTTACGTAATTTAATAAATCAATCTGGTCTCGCGATGTTCCGCTAAGAAAGAAAGAAGAGAAAGAAAAAAAAAAGGATAAATCCACGACGCCGAGCGGCGCGTCTTCGCATTTCATAACGCCACGCCGGCGCTGGTTTTCTAGATTATACACCGATTCCCGTCGGCGCGCGTTTTTCCTGGTTCACGCCTGGGCGCTCGCGGATTCGCCTGCGGCGCTGCACACACGCCTCCCCCATTTGTTTTCAGCCGTTCCTCGACAGCCACCGTGGCGGCGGAAGGCTCGCGGAGAGACGAAACGATACGCACTTTTACTTTCGCCCGTGAGCTCAACACCTTTCGTTGCAAACATCTCTCTTCTCTCTCTCCCTGTTCTTTTTTTTTTTTTTTCTTCTTTTGCCCCTTTTGTCTCGAGTTTCGTTTCGTCTTTGTATCGCTCTTTTTCGACTTTTCAAGCTCGATCCGGATGTGCGGATGACTTTGCCGCGTTCAAACTTCTCGCGCATTCACAAGCCACGAGGCGGATCTCGACGAGTCGGTCGTGTCAAATGAAAGGGTATATAAATAAATACGGCTACAAAATGAGTGGTCCAATGTTGACACGCGCGACGGACTGTCCGGTCGCTCGTACATGTATTTTATGAGTTGGGCGCCCTGGCATTACAAAATTACGCCAAACTATAGCAACTAATCATGCAGGCTTTTAATTATGTAAGCGAACGAATCGGGGTCAGATATCGACTGCGGGGTCCATCGCAGTGGCCGCTGCGTTACTCGAACGGTCGTTTATATCGACAAAGGATGACGACGCAAAGTTTCTGACCTGGATACCAAAATAAAGTAACCGGTCGCGAAAAAAATCATTCGCTGCTGCGCGCTTCTGATTAAAGTTGGATCTTGCGTAGACGTATTATGCACAACGTGGCTATCGAAATGAGAAACTTCGATGTTAATAAAACGGGTTTTCTTGACGTGCAGCGTTCAAATTTTTAAATGATCGCGATAAGCGCACGTCGCTTTCGAATTTTTGTTCGAGATGGAAAGGTATCTCCAAGAATTAATCGATTAGCTATTTTGCAGGCAATTCGATTGCTGTGTCAATAAATTGACGGTCAGTAGGCGAAGTCGAGTAAAAGAAAGACTATTATCAGCGACACGAGTCCTCCTCACCTGTCCTCTTCGCTGTTGAGTACTTTTCGAAAGCTCTCTCTCTCTCTCTCTCTCTCTCTCTCTCTTATTCGCGATGAACTTGCGGCTGAGTCGTCTGCATCTGAAGCCGACGCGACTGGCAGCCGCTGGAATCCCGTTGGGACTGTTTACGAAAGCCCACGCGCGAAAGCACCGATTGGCAAAGGAGAAGTAAGGATAAGAAAGAAGAAGGCAGGAACCGGTCTCGCGTACAGCTGTGCTCGGCGAACAAAGCTCTCGGACGTGCGAAAAGGTGTTCACCTTCGCCGAGGAAGGTTCGCGCGGAACGCCTCGATTAATTAGCCGGCACGTAACTGGCTCCTTTGTATCGCGGCAGGCCGCGAGCCGATGGCGCGTCTAACGTCGCGAGGGCACGGACGCTCGATCCGGCATTGTCGTTTCGCAACCGGCCGTTTCGCAAGGCGCGTCGCGCGCGCTCGCGTCTCGGACCGCTCTGAATTCGGATCGGCGCTCGCGGTTTGCGTCAGCCTCGGCGCCGGCCCTTTCCGACGGCGGCCGAGACGCGGGCCCGGACCGAGCAAGGCCGCGGCCGGGACGAGGAGCTCGAGGCGGCTCGGCAAAGGCTGCCAGCCGGAACGCGGGCGGCGGCTGCGGCGGCTGCGGCGGCTACGGCGGCGCGCGAGAGCGAGAGAGCAGCGTATCGCGCTCCGCCGAGGTGAGGGAAAGTGCCTTCGGTGCCTTATTATGTCGGCTGGCTCGCGGTGCTCCCGGTATATAAGCCGAGCCGCGGGAAAACTCGAGCCAGTCAAGTGGTCCCACAGCACCACACTTGCGAGCGCGCGCGCGAATCTCGAACGATGAAGTTTAAGGTAAGTGGCATCGGCCCTCGTCCTCGGCCCGTTCTCGAGTGTGACGGCGGAGTGAAACTGACTGCCGCCGCGCGCCGGCAGATGTGTCGATTTCACGTCGAGAGCACTCGCGACGCTGGGGCGCGCCAAGTCCGAACGGAACGGTATCGGATCGCGTGCGCGCGGACGTTAAGCGGCTCGCGATCGCTCGCGATTGCCCGCGGTTTTCTCGCCGGTAATTGACGCGAGCTCGGAGATAGCAGTGCTCCTCGGCGGCGGCAATCTCGCCAGCCGCTTCGCTCGTTTCGCCGCTCGCTCCTCGTCGGCCGACGTCGACTAACGAATTGCTCTCCATTCAAATTGCAGACTTGTCTGGCCCTGGTGGTGGTGGTGGCGCTGGCTGCGCTTGCGCGCGCCGACCAAGAGCCGGCGAAGAAGGTGAAGCGCGGCTACGGCCACGAGTACATCGGCGACGTGCACGAGCACCACGAGCACGTCAAGACCGTGGAAGTCATCAAGAAGGTGCCGGTGCCGGTGGAGCACGTGAAGCACGTCCCGTACACGGTGGAGAAGCACGTCCCGGTGGAGGTCAAAGTGCCGGTCCCGCAGCCCTACACCGTGGAGAAGCACGTGCCCTACCCAGTGAAGGTTTTCGTGAAGGTGCCAGTTCCCGTGCCGCAACCCTACACCGTGGAGAAGAAGATACCGTACGAAGTGAAGGTCCCGGTGGACAAGCCCTACGAAGTGAAGGTCCTCGTGCCGCAGCCCTACACCGTCGAGAAGCACGTCCCGTACGAAGTGAAGGTTCCCGTGCCGCAACCCTACACCGTCGAGAAGCATGTGCCCTACCCGGTGAAGGTGAAGGTGCCGGTGCCCCAGCCCTACACCGTCGAGAAGCACGTGCCCTACGAAGTGAAGGTCCCGGTCGACAAGCCGTACCCGGTCCCAGTGCCCAAACCCTACCCCGTGACGGTCGAGAAGCCTTACCCGGTGACCGTCGAGAAGCACGTGCCCTACGAGGTCAAGGTACCGGTCGACAGGCCCTACCCAGTTCCAGTGGAGAAACCGTACCCCGTGCCCGTCAAGGTCCCGGTGCCCAAGCCCTACTACGTCCACAAAGAGGTGCCCTACGCGGTTGAGAAGCCAGTGCCGTACCCAGTCAAGGTACCAGTCGACAGGCCATACATCGTCGAGAAGGCCGTGCACGTTCCAGTCGAGAAGGAAATCCCAGTGCCCGTCAAGGTGCCCTACCCAGTCCCGGTCCACGTCAAGGAGGAGCACCACCACCTCCACGAGCCCGTCAGCCACGGCTGGCAACCGTCCCACGGTGACTGGGAATAGATCGATCGACTTCGTTTCCGCTAGCCTCCAGTCTCTCGCTAGCTGGTAGGTCAATTATAAGCGAGACGCGAGAACGGTTGGGATCCACCACCACGCGACGCTTCACGGTTCGCGCGCCCGTTGCGACACAGTGCAGCCCCGAAGGATTGCCGGCTGCTTTTGCCCAACCCCGGCAACGATGCCCAAGACTCGTTGTACAGCTCTGCCCCGTCGGCGCTCCGTTGCTAAATCGTCTCTCGGGCTCGCAATTATCAAGCTAAAGTCTGGCGTGCGTTCCTTTACAATCCACAGCTTTTCTAGAGTAGCCGAACCGGTGCACCGTGCAAACGGCGATACGCGATGGTGTGGCGCCAATCGATACGCGAACCCTTCCGCGCGACGTGTAAATAAACAAAGAGGTATGCTCGCTGATGAGTCAACTTTTTTTCTATTATCTCTTTAGTATTGTATTCTTTTTTTTTATATATTTTGCGCGTATCCTTGAGACCTGGGCCTCCAAAGCGAAATAAGCGACGCAACAGCGACTCTCTACCTTGTGCTCTACCTATTGCTTCTCTTTTCCATTCTATTTTCTCTTTCTCGATACACATATACATGTACGGAAATTCGATTTCTTTTTTCTTTGGATACTTGTAAAACTCGCTTGCCACGAGGTCGACATCGCAAACTATAGCCTTCTATTTCGACGAATGTAATCGAGGCGTATAACGTGTAAGCGAACCGAAATTCGCATTCGACGTTATATCATTTTTTTGTACTGTGCAGATTGAATAAAAGAAACCTCACACGAAAACCAAAAGACGAGTGACCGAAAGGTATATGTCTGTGCGATTTCACCCTGCCACCATGCTCTTTAGCAAGTGAAAATTCACGATACATGAGATAGCGATCGAACGCCGCTGCCACAACCCAACCCAACCCAACCTTTCCAGATTCCCGGCAATTAAGAGGCACGCGCCGTGGTTACGCCTCATAAACGGGCCGATAACCTATGCAAGTTTCCAATTTCGTTTGTTTTATTGTTTTACGTCGATCGCGTCTATCGAAGCGGTAAATTGCGTTTGTTTTTCTCGCGCTCAAAGTCATGGCTTCGTCCGACGTCCTTGAGCTTTGGATAAAAAAATGAACGCGATACATCGCGGAAGTAGCGAGGGAAACGAGAAAGAAAAAGGACTGGAATTTCCGCGCCTTTCGCGAATCTTAATCGTTACGAGAGCGCAATTAAGGAGCAGCGCCCCTCCCCGGGCGCCTTTTATCTCGCAGTCGCGATATACGTACGCGCGCTCCCAAGAAAGTCGCGCGCTTTCTCTCGCGCCGCGGCGAGTTTCTAGACTCCGCGGCTTCCACGTTTTGTTCTCATTGGCACTTGTGTGCGTGCGTGTACGCGCGCAACGAACGATCTCGAAGCCGCTCGCCGGCGGGAGCTTTCGCGACGCATACACCACCCGCCGCGGTTACTTAAGCGCTCCGAGCTTTCTAAGGCGACGGAAATGCTACGCGCGCGCGCGTAACCGCGTCTTCCCGTGTTTATCGGGTCAAAATCATTTTCTCCCTTCGCCACGCGCAAATTGAACATTACGATGCCAGCCGGACTTTTGTCAATTTGCTCCGATGATACGTTATTACGCGTTTCTCCGCGACGCGTACGCGCCACGTAACGCGAAAGTGCCATTACTTTTATTTTCGTTTGCCAACCTTATCGTCATGCTGAATTTTTCGATAAAACTGCTTCTTCTCGTAATTAAGGCTCGTGATTTTCATTTGAATCCAGTATTTTTACATAACTCTGGCGATCAGTGCTCGATGTGGTTTTATTTTTTACTCGGCGCATTCCGCGCGTAAACCGAAAATATAAAGTTATAATTTACGAGCTTGTCGGGTCGTTGCCGCGAGTGCGATAAATTCATCTCTTCATATTTTTCCAACTTGTATTTTCTTTGCTCGTTTATTCATTTTCCTCGAATAATTAATCAGTTGCGAATATACGTTACTCTACGTTATTGATACCTTTTGTGAAAGGCTCCAAGACCAATTTCATTCTTTACTTCCTTACTCCTTTACGAATAAAGATAATTGCAGTATATACCACTAACGAGCTTTTATTTTGATAATTGAATAAAAAAAAGAGAAGGGTTTCCAGACTCAATTAATAAATTTGAAAACGCAATTGAAAGTTATTTTTAATGAGTACCGCTGTACAGCGTGCGCCTGTACTTTAATGGATTTTTAATTACGGATTAATTGATAGATTTCTATGGTTTTACAAAATTCAGCTACGATTTCCAACGGAAGGCAAACTACTCATTATGAATCTTTTGAAACTAAATGTAAGTTTTTTTCTGGTCCTTTATGAATTAGCTCCTACTAAGCTTGCTACATCCCAGATCGCCACTAAACAACAAGCACTTTCGAAACTTGGACATTCAACTGCGAAAACAAGTCGGACTTCAACTGTCCAATCGCCATTACGAATTTGTTGTCGGCTACGAGCGCGCGATTTTCGAACCCGCCGGCGAACAAGTCTCGCGTACGTTAATTACGTTAGAATTTCCTCGTAAAGGTGTATGCAATATAGCGGTTATCTAGCGTGAAAGCGAAGGGGGAGGGGGGGGGGGGCGACGAATCCGCCATGCGTGAATTACGACGAGCGCACGGTCTTCCTTCCGTTACCCATCGAGGATACTCCATAACTTCCGCTTTTCGCGCCCGTTGCTTTATGATTTATCGGCGCCCATTATCCACCGCAGCGATCCATTGATTTTCGTGCGGCGAAGCGGAGCTCGGTCCTGACCGAGGGAAGGCAGGAACAGCCAAGAAAAGAAGAAAACGAAATGAAAAGGAGGTGCGTTCGATCGAAAGCGGAACGACGTCGAGAACGGAAGCGCCGACAGGTACAGCGGCCGTGTATAACAAGTAAAAGCGCGTTTCGTCATCGCAATCATCATCGGCCGCGTCTAGCGCGTCATCCGCGCCCGAGCTGGCCGGCGCTGAAATGCGCGTACGTTCGCGCGATCGGCGCGCTTCCGCAAACAAAAGTGCTCTCGCAGCCGTTGCGCAAGCTCGTCAACGCCGTCGGCAGTCGGCCGGAGCGAACGCAAGAATGATTGACTGCCTTCTGCCGCTGCTCAGGAATTTTCTCATGAGCTGCGTATTATGCATTGTTGCTGTGAGCCGCGTGCGCGCACACATGCGCACACACCACTTGCGGAAATCGATCGGCTTGTTTGTTAAGGCTCCACTCTACGGTTCGCTTTGAATGCACTGTTGCTCGCAAGGGAATTATGATGCTTGAGAAGCGCGCTTACTTCGCGAGTATTGCACGTAAGCTCTGTATGCGTGATTTTTCGCAATTTCTTTTCTACTGCACTCTTTATTTCGGTCGGATGTTGGTAATTGTTTTACCGCCGGCAATTGTAGATTCGAAATTCTAACCAATTTCCAAGAGTTTTTTTCTTTGTTGGGCTAATTGCTGGTTCAACCGTGATAACCAGCTTCAATCAAACATCTAACGTTAATCTCTGACCGCGTAGGAAAGTTAAAAATGACAGACCTCAAAGTGTAACAAATCGAAAATACGTACGTACATGGGTACACTTGAATGATAGGTAAATAAGAAATGGCCAATTTGTACGCTGTACGTTTCAAACTAGTGACACTGTCGATAATATCAACGTCATGTCGGCGCAGACAATTTCGAAACTCACAAAGAGAACGGGGGTTGGGTTGGAATTCCGTGACTTTGGTACGCGTTCTGTACACGGTAATGTACGCATTGCGGCTTGGTAATAACTAACTACTATTCAATCTCAAAAATACACATGTCTTCGGCCAATGTCATGCCAATATTTTCCAGTTTGACTAGTAGTTATTACCATAGCGTGCTATATACAGTATAGTCATAGAATCCTAGCGGAGCTGTAAACAAATATTCCGCAAGTGCATTTATACTCGTTCTTCGTAATTGTCAACTAGTTCTGTCGCGATGAATATATATGGAGATCTGAGAAACCGCAAAAAGTTCGCATGGGACGTCCAAATGCACGACCTCGCATTCAAACAAGTCGGTGAGTTTCTAACCTTGTCGGCGTTTACAGCATTCGGTGCAAAGTGGCAGTTAAAAGTATACGCGAGAGGACTGGACCAGAAAGATCGCGATTCCGTGTCGTTGGTTTTACATATGTTGGATTGTGGAAAAACAATCGAAAGGGAATTGGAGACTACTATATTATTCGACTGTAATACGGGTTTGGCACTGGCACCGAGGAACTTCCAAACGAACGATCATCGTCCAGATAGCAACACGTGGGAGTTCAGAAATCTCTGTCGCACTGAAATTTTTATGTCGACTTTCATGCATTACCAGCAGAGCGAGATGTTGAGTATTGAGTGTAATTTCGTAGCGATTGCTCCCATGGCCATTTTAAATCCAATAAACCTCGAGGGCGACGTCGTCTTTTCTATCGGAAACAAGTATATATGCGCTCACAAAATGGTGCTGGCCAATAAGAGCCGGATTTTTGCCACGATATTTCAGTACCAGATGAGAGAAAACGTCAAGAATGTAATAAAGGTTTGCGACGTCGAATACGACATCATGTTGGCAATGATCCATTTTATTTACTCAGGAACTGTCCACAACATTCAAAAAACGATCGCACCTTTGTTGGCTGTCGCTAACAAGTATGAAATAAATGATCTGAAAACCCATTGTGGCGAGTATCTCGCACAAAATCTGTCCGTGGAGAACCTTGACTTGTATCTATCTATGGCGAAATATTACAATATTGAATCGCTCAAAATGAAGGCTGTGGAATTCATAATACGTAATGGAAGTAAAATCATATTTACTTCCAGAATACTATCAATTGTTCAGTCGAATTCCGATGTAATCCTTAACCTTATTCGGAATTTGTCAGAGAGGTATTTACCGTGAAAATCATCCTAATAATTTTCCGCAAAATGCTCTCCGGTTATCTTTTTAAACATATTATTTGACTTTGTTATTTACTTATTTAAATAACTCTTATATCCGTAACATTAAACATTACTCGAAAGAGTATGAATTATCTATTAATAACAAATTTCATTTTCAAAAACAATTGAATTATATTTTCAACGAGTTTTGGCGTTGTCGATGTAACCAGAACCCCGTAATATATCGAATTTAATGGTGATTATATTGTCCAAGTTCTATTTTTCGCAATATACATCTAATTAGTTGTTTGTATGAATATACATGTATTAAATTATATTGACAGATGAATTGTTTCGTTTTATTGTATTTTTCATTATTTGCAATTCCTGGGAAAATCAATACAAAACCAATAAAATTTGAGACGAGTCGTGCTTTCGTTATTGTTTATGTTTGTACGTCATGATCCAGTGTTGATTTCCTGAAATTATTTAAAACGAAGAGAAGCGTTCAAACCGAAATTACGTGTATTCTGACGGATGCAATAGCGGTAGATGCATAATAGCTCTCTCTACAGATATGTACGTTTCAAGTTTTTTCCGCTCTAGTTCGCGGCATGACGTTAATTATATGCAGATTTATCTATGATTCGGCGATTAGGAGAGTTCGCGAATAGTATTGTATTAACAATTACGCTCAAGTGACTCGACCGTCGTAAAATCGACGACCAAGGCAATATTAAAAATGTCAAATATAGAATTGAACATTATAGCTTGGCTTTGTGCGCGCTGGCAAACAATCATCGAGCGAATGAAAGCTCGCCGAAATCTATATATATTAAGCCGGGGGTCACAATAGCTAGACGCCTGCAGGCGAAGTTGCTCTCTGGGTATTAGCGCGACTGCGGATAGCGCGAGCGAGCGAGAGAGTGAGGCGAAGGCAATTATCGCGGAAGCGAAACTTGAACGCGGCGGTAGAGAGCGAGTGTCGGCTGTCTGATACGGGACGAGAGAGAGAGAGAGACGGGTCAGGTCCCTGGGGATTCTCAGCTATACTCGAACGGGATCCCCGAAGCTCTCTCTCTCTCTCCCAGTTAATTACAAAGTCCTTATACCCATTGGCTCCGCCGTAGACGGTCCCTCTCGCTCCCTGCCCTTTGTCACCACTCGCTCGCAATTCACGCTTCTTCGCGCCTTATGCACTTTCGTCCGCGATCCCTTATCGCTTCGATCGCGCGTCGACTCTTTTACGCTCGGACGGCTCGAGCGGGTCTCGGCTCCGAGGCGGACGGGTGTTGCGCGCCGAGGATTGCCAAAGCGCACGCCTGAAAAGCAAAACAAGTTATCAAGTGCTCGCGTTTGATCGCTTTTTCGACCGAGAGCGTGTTTATACCTTCGGCAGGACGATCTCCGCAGCTCTCGTTACGTAAAATCGCACAGTCCCTCTTTGCAAGCCACAACAGGTTCTCGACTTATTATTCAACGGAGGGCTCGCGTGCACTTCGGACTACATGTTGCGTCACGATATCTTGCGCACATAATGCATCGGAGGCTAAAGTGCTCCATGTGAGTAAAAGGACTTGGCGCGCGTTGCCTAATATTGTAAAACTTCCCTGTCTTTCGCTTTCACACCTTAATACGCCTCTCTCTCTCTCTCGCACGTTTGAATTTCAATATACCTACCGCTTTTTTTTGTTTTGTTCTTCTACGTATATATGTAACGCGCACCACGGGGAACGCGGTAGCTTTCTCTTTTTATTTTTTTTTTTTTTTTTTTTTTAAGAAGTCGCAATTATCGCAAAAGTTCGTTTTATTTGTCCTCCGAGAATCATTTAAATGCACAAAGTCTGTTGACCGTGCAATTACAGATACAAGTTTGTTCCTGTAATTGCTAGCGGAGCACCGAGCGCGAGCGCAGTGAGCTGTTTGCAAAACTAGCATTCGAAAGTTTTCTATAATTCACGCGCGTATGCATTTCGGTATCGAGGGAGCAATGGGCTATTAAACATTTAGTTTTCCTCTGTTGAAACGACTCGATCGTCGATTTTCGGCACATGGCTTTCTAATTGATGCGAGCAGAGCGAGAAGGGAGGGGAAGGGGCACAGAATGCAACTTGTCGATAAACTTCAAGGCCTTGGCATGTGTCCTTCGCGATGATATACGAGCCCATGCTTGTCCGTCATTAACGACTCGTAAGATCGTAAAGAAAAACAAGTTTTGGACTCTGGTGATGCGATCGATATTAATTAATGACAAACCGTTGAGGCGATGAAACAAGGAGTTGCACTGCGATAACAATAAGCAGCCGTAATATCCGTTATTAACCTATCAATCAAGCATCAGCCGCGCGCGAAATTTCCCATAATGTCTCTTCTGCGCAGCGAAGCCCTGCAGAAATCCTTTTCCGGGCGATAAAAGCGTCTCCTCCTTCTCTCGCGCGTTTTATCTATTTTAAGCGTCGTCTCCCAATCATCGGGTGTCAGTCCTCTCACTCCCTCGAGAGGGGGAGCTTGCGCGAGGCGACGCTCGTGAAAATGGAATAATCTCGGCAGAGCTGAAAGGCAAGCGGCGAAAATTAATTATTGATTTCGGATACGCCGCGGCTTTTAATCGAATGTGCGGCTGCAACGTCGCGCCCGCACCGAATATTGCCACTCCCCGCGTGAATGCTTTGCTCGGATTCTCGCTCTTATTTTTTTTTTCTTTTTTCTTTTTTCTTTTTTTTCTCTTTTTTTCCTTTTTGTTTTGTTTGGCGAGTCTGAGCCTTTTCATATTCGAGTTTACGGATATGCGGGCGGGAGAACGTACTCGTCTAAGCAATCGATGCGGCCAGATAAGTCTTCAAGTTTAATTTTTTTGAGCTTAGTTAAAAAAATCTTAGTTCAACTATTCATCTGAAATTTTGTTTTTAATTTAAGAACATGTATCTGACCTTAAAATAGCAAAATTCTTATTTTAAGCCCTTTTTATAATTATCTATAGATCTACAGAACAATGAGTAATTTTTGCTACAAGATGTAGTCTCAAATAAATATCACCAAAGAAAAAACGATTTCATTTTTTTAGTACTGTCCAAGTACTGCTGCATATACTCGATACTGTGTTGAATATTACTGTCTTTTTCTCGTTTATCAGTGTCCGATATTTTGTGTTATATATATACACATATAATTTTGTATATACTTTTTTTCGGTTTTCCGGACACCTTAGTCATCTATTCATTAAAGATTATTAAGTTCTAAATTAGATTAACTACGCAAAGGTGAAATTTCATTATCACGAATAAAATATTTTTTGTAACATTCCATCATACATTTCAAAATAATCAAAAATTGTTCGTCCGACGGTACTTGTTATACGTCTTTTCGAACATTTTTTGCGAGTACTGGCTAAATATTAGCTCAGACAGATTTGCCAATTAAATGGGACCGTATTATAAGTGTACTTTTTCGAATGAAACCGCCCTAAGTCGATAAAACCGTTCAGGAAATACGTTGATGCAAACAGTCTTATTTTAAGTTAACAAGAAAAATAAAGTTTCTTTTCTTGAAAGAAACGAACTTACATTGTAAATGCTTTATTTTACTCGTATTTTGTTCTTCTTTTAATTTAACAAACTCTGTCACGAACGAGCAGACATGTGGACACGAGGAAGTACTAAACTTTCATAGATTTTGGCATGAATGAGTAAACTATTGAGTATAGTTTATTAAAAGTATAAATATCAATTGAAACGCGCTTTTTCATGTACGGCTATTTTTGAATTTATTAAAACGTATGTATTTTTTGATAATGATAAAAAATGATAGTTGAAAATATAAGTCATGAATGAAATAACTTATGGTTCGTAAGGTGCTGAAGGAGACTAGGAGCTGTTCAACTTTCGGCGGATACTAATGTCTTGTTAGATGAGCCCGAAATGTTTGATCTAGACCTTAAAGAATCTTCAGAACTTGGTAGACTTTCGATCACCTAAATAAAGTAAATAAAAATGAAGTGTTAGTGAATATGCGAAAATGAAAGATGACAAAGTAGTGAGCTAAAAAAAAAGTAAATGAAAAACGTTAAAATTAATATTCTCAGGCCCAACATATATTAAATAGACATTGGAGAGGATAATATATAAATTCTATATAATATGTAAATGAATATCTATTAAAATTTTATGAAACTCTACAATGATTTTATTATAGTTTTTTCGCTTCCTCTTTCAAAAACTTAATGTAAGAAAATCCTGTATAATCGTGACATTCCCTGCCCAATGGTGAGAAGTAAAATTGATTTGCTGGGTAGAGGGTGACTTGCAGCTTAAGCACATTTAACTGAACTTTTGTTAGATGCACAAATTGATTTTCGATACTTATGCAATGTCCTTAATCACCTCCTGTAATTCTTCTTTTGTAAACATGTGGAATTTTGTCTCCGGAGTCATTGACATCACTTCAATATTTGTGTCATTGAGCTTCTCCTCCATTACTTGCTTTAGAATTTTCAATGCAGCCTTTGTTGCTTCTTTCAGTGTCATCGACTGCAAAGAGAATTGTTAATTAATAACATCATTGTGATTAACATGATCAGTAATTGTAAAAACATAAATATTCTAGACTGTATTATCAATCCACAAAAATGCGTGAAAAATTTCAATTTGTTAGTTCTTTGTCTGAATAAAAGAAAATTTACCTTGTGATAAACTTCTTGAAGTGACTGTTGCGCACCTTCACTTCCAGATCCAATAGCCTTAGCATCATACTGTACAAAAGTTCCTGAAGGATCCATGTGGAATAATTGAGGTCCTTTCTCATCAATGCCAGCAAACAAGAGAGCAACCCCAAATGGTCTGGACATCGCGCTGCCATCATCATCGCTGTCTCCAAACTGAATGGCCAAGTTTGATACAGCTTGAGTTGCAGATTCCACAGTCATTTTCTCATTATAAGTAAACCAATGATTCTGACACTCTACTCTTGCTCTATCAATCATTGTTCTTGAATCTGCCATCAGACCAGATGACACACAACCAATATGCTTATCAATTTCAACAATTTTTTCCACCATTGTCGGCTCCATCAGAAAAGATGTAGTACGTTTCTCTACTGCTAAAACTACACCTTCAGAAGTGCAGATTCCAATAGCAGTCCACCCAAGTTTAATTGCCTCAATGGCATACTCAACTTGGAACAATCTGCCTTCAGGTGAAAATGTATTCACACCACGATCGTATTCTGAGCGGGTTAGGAACATCTATAAATAAAACACCATTACTGTATTTATTAATTTAACTAGTTACATTTATAAATTAATTCAATTAATAAATCATGACTTTCAGGTTATCACAGTATCACTTTAAGATATATTGCTTTTCACAAAGTTAACCTACTTGAAATTTTAATCTACTGAGAAACTATTAAGAATAACATTTTACAAATTATAAATACAAAGATGAAGTAAAGTTTATTTACATTCGACAATGAAAAATCATGTCTCTCATAGGTTAATTTTGAATGACATTGCAGATTTACTGGCAGTTTTATGAGAAAATAGATTAAAAAATTTTGATTTAGAGACACAATTAAACGATAATGTTCAAGATTAAAATTATACCTTGACTAATCTTTGTAACAAAACAGCTACTTCGAAGAAATAAATAACAAGCCACTACTGTCTCTTTACAAACGTAGAATCACGGCTCGGCTATGACAACATGCATATAGTTTTTGTAGCGATGTCGTTCTTTCTATATTCTCTGCCGATATTCTCTTGCAGCGCCGCCGCAGAAATCCTTTCGGTTGAAGGTTGAACTGAACTGTTGAAGTTGAATCGTCGCTGACCGCTGTCATACAGTGGAGTGTTGATATAGTTTGGCAGCACTGTTGTTCATACACTATTAATTTACTGTTAATTTATTTAAATATTACATGTAATTAATTGTGCTATTAGAAACAAACTTAGTTTTTGATGTAACAATAATATACGCCTTATACATGTACAAAGAGCGTCACTTTGACAATGAAGTATATGTATAGATATGTACATTCAAAATTACTGTCACAAGTTTTGTTGGAAACATTAACAATATATAACAAAAAAAACTTTTAGACAGATCAGTTTTATCAGTTAAACTTAAATGGTTCATCATAAATATTAAATTAATAGTATAATCTCTGAAACATATTAAAATTACTATAAATTCATCTTTTCCTCTGTAATATCTATAGTTGTATTATTTTGCGAATAAAGTTTATATCTTTTTTAGAATCTACACAGAAAAAACATCTTGTAAAAAAATATGTTCATCTGAAATTTAGGAAATTTATAGTTTTATAGTTTTAGTACAAATGAAATGATCATAATATAGTATATAATTAATGAGGTGCACAGAATCAGAAAAATGTCCTTATAAAATAAAAATCTTATAAAATAATCATAATATTCGTGAAATCGCATTCTCTAATTAAGATAATCAATTGGCAGCTGCCTGCTCCTTAAACCAAACTGATTTTTTATGTCTTATTCAATTAGTTAAGATAAATAAATATCGTATTTATGCTGTATATTAAAAGTTATTTTTCGAATAGACATACGCCTGCACGAAAATTTTATACACATTCGAACAGCATAGTATATAGGAAATAGAGAATATTATCACTTATCATTTGTGTATTAATTTTTCATTTTTTATTATTTTTAATAATTATTCCAATACCACCGCCTATTATAAAATATTTTTTAAATACAGTGTTAAAATTAATTGTGTAAAACATTTTATCAGCGCAATTACTAAATCTAGCTATGCTAGACAATACATATTTCACATTAATAATCAGTTTCCAAGACGATTTCAAACTTTGGCGTTTGTCCTTGTAAATGGTTATGCGCGATCATCTATATAGATATAGTTTCCATGGTTATGCGCGAGTGTAGGTTGCGTTGCGCTTGCGTTTCGCGAATTCAGTGCCGTTCTTGTGCACCTATCAAATAAAGAAAAGAAGTATAATAACTACTCCTCGCCTTCTCTTGAATCCTCAGTTCTCACCCTTACAAAGAGCATTAAAGATCGAGTAGGCGAACGCATAATTTCCACTCACGTGAGATAAAGTAAGAAGATTTTCGACGTAGTGGAAGGTTTCTTTATTTATGTGAGTAGATGATTTTCTTTATTATAATTGAACCAACTCAAGGATCGGCATATTTTATTATTATTGCAGTGAAGACTGAAGAACACTGCTAAAAGTTAGATATTTTAAAAATGGAGTCAAATGAGAAATTAGTATTATGCATGGAAAAAAAAGACTGGGACACTTTGGTGACTATTTTGAAACCTAAAGACTTTTGTGGTGATATTCCAAGGTAAGATATTGTCTAAAAGTGGAAAAATTTACGTGCTAAACTTGAATTTTTGATTTTTCAGAACTTTTGACGATTTTTACAAACTTCTCAAAGTAGCTGAACTCTTGACTGAAACAAATATTGATCTCCCAGAAAAAATAAAAGCTATACTTCTCAAGTGTGTGGCTAATTCATGTGTCAATGGATTTACAGAAAAAGCATATACTCTGAGTGATGTTGCAGAACAAAGTAACTTTTACAGACAGATATTAAGTAAAGTTTCTGAATGGACTAGCGATGGACCATATCCATTCCACATAAATTTTCCGTATGAAGGTGTTGTAAGATGGGCAATACAAACTATTGTCGATTATTCAGAAGATAATAGAAAATTGAATGAAGAACAGATAGAAGTGTTGCGTTTGAGCTTGCAATTGCTGTGCAATTTTTTCACGTTTGCATTTAATATTGAAAAATCAGCTAATGCAGATCTCTTTATGACATACATTAAAGATAAAAAATTCAAAGATACAATCATGTAAGTACTAAAAAATTTATATTACTTTTTAATTTATGATAACAATTCTTAGAATTTCAACGTATTTTTAGAAAACTTGTTGGTCACGATCGAGCACCAATTGCTAGAGCAGCTTGTGCCTATGTTCACAACATGGTGAGACAAGTATTCAAAGAATTTTATGGATCCATTGACAAGAAGGAGCTGACCTCAGAATTAATAAAATCCATTATATCAGATATTCAAGCAGCATTAGATACAGTTACTTTGTTATTGAAAGAGCCTAGTTACTTAAAAGAAATTTATGAAGAATTGAGTATTGATGACAAGTTATACTTAATTGATATTATTCATCAAGAGGTTCGTGCAGTTGTTTATAATGAAGAGAAAACAAAGGATGTTTATGGATTGCCTATTGAAGCTATAGAATTTTTAGCTGATAAATTCAAAAAGAAAAGTGATTTAATTTTAAAGACAGTGGATACATACTTAAATGGTTTAGAGCCTACAGAAATAACTATTCTGATAGACATTTTGGGTGTATTAACTTCTAATCCAAAACTGGAAGAATCAAAAAAGCTTCAAGAGGATAAAAGTCTTCTTATAAATTGTCTTTGTAAGTTGATTTTTCAATATACTTTTATAATTGAATTTATAATTCTACAATTTACACAATTTATTTATTTACAGATCTCTTGAAAGCAGTTCATATAATTGGAAAAAATTCAAACAATTGTTTTACTCCTCTGCAAAAGCTGAGTGAGCTCACTGTTAGTAACGAAAAAAATTGCTATGATGATGCTGATAACAAAAGTAATCATGTGTGTACTAAAACCATTCAATCCCATCCTGCATTTGGATTTAAAGCAAGTCTTATTCGACTAATTGGCAATTTAGTACATAAGAATGAGAAAAATCAAAACTTTGTATGTATCTCAATCTTCTTTGACATAGAAGATACATTTTCATTAATTTGTAATATTACTTTTTGGTTTTTCAGGTTCGAGAAAACGATGGCATTCCATTGCTTCTTGATTGTTGCAACCTCGATGCGAGAAATCCACGTATCCTTTAAAAAATTCTGTAACAATTCAACTAGCATTTAAAAATTATTAACATCATATATTTTCTTTACATCAAACGTATTTTATAGTGATTATTCAGTGGACAACATTAGCCATCCGCAACTTACTCGAAAACAATCAAGAGAATCAAGACGTCGTTCGTGAGAGTACGAAGCTAGGAGTAGTGGACAGCTCGATTGCACGTGAATTCGGCCTAACCCTTCATGACGAAGGAGATGGGAAAGCAATCGGTATAATGCCTTTGCCTAAAAAGGATTGATGTGACGAAACAGTCAGTCCTCGAATCAATTATGATATCGACATAATTTTAATCCTTAATCAAAAATTGAATGTAAAAATTTGATTACAATACTCATAACGTAAACTGCCAAATTTTAACATCTCTATATTTAGTAATAAGTAGTCACGTACGAATCAATTTTTTAAGGTCTTTTATAAAAGAAGCGCTCTTTCAGTTAGTATGCACGATCACGTAGTCACCTGCCTTACCTTCCGTCTCAGCCTAGAAATCTTCCTCGTTCGGCCGCAGGTAGATGTCTTGTGAGCCGCGAAAAAACTGTCCAAGATATAATGTATTGCATTTTTGTACATTTTGTACGTGCGGTGAAAAAACGAAAATCGTCCAATCATTATGTATTACCGCTATGTTAATCCCGTAAATAAACGTGAAATAATAATGTATTCAAGCAAAAAAAAAAAAAAACAACAAAAAAATACTTTGATTGTAATCACAAAAGATCGACAATCGTCCTTTTATGAAGATCGATCAGCGTAAGATGTGTTTTGATCAGACGTACAGTAGTCGTCTTTTGTATAACAAAGGCGAAAATAAAGTAGCTTGTCTCAATCGCGATGCGGCACAATTTACTTGCAATCCGATATGCCATTAAGGCATCAACGAGATCTTTCTTCGACGCTGCCTTATTTTACAGAGCTGCTGCTGCTTGCTGTCCAAAGGGACGAGTTCGCGTATAGATCATCCGATCGAAGGCAATCGTGTTCTCAAGTTTCGCTCGATCGACAAACGTGTTTTACGCACTCTCTTTCTGTCTCTGTCCGCTGCACGAGACGAATCGTTTTTGCATTATCCTTTTGTTTTTCTTCCAAAAGCCAAATACAGAATTACGCGACAACCCTACTCGGTCGCTTATAATCACATTGGGTTTATTTCATTTTACTTATAGGTGTGTATGCGTGTGTCTGAGGAAAAAGTGTATTCAATTAAAACGTCGGCTTATAGCTGTTCTACAATGTTTGTTGCTCGATTTTCCATCTCTCTCTCTCTCTCCGCGTATATAATCCAAATCACTTTTTGTTTTTACGTCTGCGCGTCATTCGGCATTGCCAGCATTTATTTTTCTCCACGGCGATTGCTACCTGGTGCCCGTAATTTTTTATGATTTATTTTTAGACGAGCAATATATTATGTACCTCGTAATCGGCTGTACGGACACTCTCTACGGTTATTATTTCCTTTTTGTTAGCGCTTGTTTGCGTCAAGATACATCATTGGATACATAACTTATTCCAATTTAGCGGTACAGCGCGTATATCTTTCATTCCCGTTGCTTTTTTTCTCGAATAACTTTAAAATTCACGATTACTATACCGCGGAAAGCTTTTAAAAAACGTATCGCTCAAGTGCCGTGAAATCATTTTTCAGACACATTAACGGTCGAAAAGAAAATTAGGCATAATCATTCTGAATGGAGGCAGGTTTTTATTGAAATTACACGTGTATATCCGCTAGTAGGCCTCGGCTGTTTTTCCAGATCAATTCAAGAATTTGTCAATTCCAGTAGTAGAGCTGAACGTCAACTCAGCCGCGAAAAATGTCACGGCTGATCAAAGTCAACGTAGTGGAACACATGATTTATCGTGTCGCGTGCGTCGCGTGCACTTTTCCCGAAAAGGCGCTAGAGCCCATACGCCCCTTTTGTCATTACAGATCGGTGGCAGCGATCACGGCATAGAATACGATTTCAAAATTCAGCTGATAAGTAGTAATGTCTCGTCGGCGTCGATAAGCTTGCGCTGCGGTTATGATCGGTTAATGGCTTTCGGGCGATACTCTCGCGCGGCGCTTTAAATAAGGTCCAGGCGCGTGCATAAAGTGCTTGTCTACACGGCATCGCGCGATAATGCCTTAATCGAAAGTCTAATTTACTCCGCTACGTCGGTAAACCACATCGCGCCTTTTTTCGGCTTCCGCGCGAGCCGCGATCAATTAAATTCTTCCTCTTCCAATCGCTCGGAAATTTCCATCCGATTATCATAATCAAACACATTTAGTCACGGTATTCGTCGTTAAATGCATTTTAACGTGAAACGATAAAGCGCTCGGAGATGATTCTCCATCTTGGAAAGAATGCAAAATGAAAATCAGTTAATTCTATAAACTTCAATACTAGACAGGTAGGCAATGATGAGCAGTATAGGACAGACGATGGACAAAAGACTAAACTAAATATCGATATGAGCCGTGAAACTCAACTGACGAAGATGGAAGTCATCTGTCGAGTAAAAAATGAAGAAAAAAAAACGAGCGTTAGCGCCACGTGGTGAGCAAGTAAATGTGATGCGAGTCACTCGATGCCAACGCTTTGCCAACCAATTCGAACGAGACGATTGTGCGTACGAAGCGTAAAGCTAGTGCAGCGCTCGGCGGCGTCACGGGCATGTAACTCACGATCTCCAATCGAGCGTGTCCGAAGTAGTAGTCGCGCGGCCTATCTCGATAATGTACTCCGCCGAGCGGCGATTTTTGCGCGTGCTCCTTTTTCCTTTTCCTTCCACGACGGCCACTTATTTATTCATTGTGAACGGCTGTCTTGTAGACAGCGATAATTACGATTATTACACGGCTCTCCTTTCCCGACTGGAAAATCCAGCGGCTCTGAGTTACCGATATTAACACGTTCTGACTGAGTTACCAATTGGCCGATATCGGATGAGAGTGTAAAGTGTGATATTAACGCGTATTATTTGGCGCGCAGCGGAGGGGCAGGGACGACGGTGTGAACCGGCCGGTTGATTAACGCGAAATTTATCTGCTAATTACGATTGCTGATTAATCGCGACCCGCATGATGGGCGTGCACAAGATCGCGCAAGATCGCTAAATGCTCGCGGAGTATCATCATCGCGCTCTCTGGGAAATTTCGAGAGATGAATGATAATGCGCCTCCAAACCGGATTTTTCATTGGCTGCGCGCTCGATCATCGATATATGATTTCTCAGATTTTTCAGAAAATTCAAATCGGTCAATCTTTTCTTTTTTCAAACGAAATATTAGCACTTGAAAGAATATATGACAGGTATTTCGATTATATAAATCAAAAATTACATAGAAGATACCATGCCATCAATAACGATGTGAATGTAAAAAAACATTTCATTCGCACTTCGATGTCAATTGAAGATATCACTTCGATAGTTCTCAACACATGGAAAATGACAACATTTTTTTCAGCACAATCATTAAAAATAATGTAAATACTGGGATTGTATCGTCCAGTGCTATTTGTAGTACAAATTTTTTTAACGATTTTGTTGAATTCGGTTATTGCGGTTGCTTACCCATAATTGACAGGGGAAGTTATTTTCGTTGTATTATACGATTAGAATAGAGTTCAATGATATATTTTTCCCAATAACTCGTTGTCATGGTAATGTTTAATTATTATTTTAATTATTCGGATTTCACTGTTGCTAATTGTGAGAATCGATTTACCTTCTAAATAACATCTTAATTATGAATTAAATCTAGTTTGCTTATTTATCAATTAAGCGAAACCCTTGCGTTTTTACGATTGAATAATTATAGTTGCAATTTATTTCAATGTTTCAAGTTATTTTAATAGAAAACAATTTTACGTATGCATAAATCACAAAACTTATGCAGATATTTCACTACTTTACATAATTGTAGGTCTATCTCATGCGTGTAATATCGCGTTATTTCTCATAAATTTGAAATTCACTTATCACCGTCAAATTCCATTAGGCATACAGGCATTTAAATGTTTCTCTCTTTCTTCCTCGACAACGCGCAACGGATGATATTTTCATCGACTTGCTTATGCAACGGCACTGAAAAATAAGCAACATCGAAGGTGAATCCCAAATGTATACGTCTACACTCGATGGTGCACCGGTATGAAGTTATGAATGAAATTCCGAAAGTTTCGTTCAGCGCAGGGTCTCTTTCGTAAAAAAAATTGATTAAAAAGCCAATTAAGCTGTCACAAGGTTGTGACCCCCCGCCGACGAAGTTTCCACTGATAAATCCATAAATCCCGAACGTCGCTCGCTGGCGCTCGTTAAGAATGCCCACCAATAAGAAAAAAAAAATAAAGATACAGACTCGGAGCAACGTCGCTTTGGAAAAATCACTGTTTCGAGCGGCGCGTATCCACGATTAATAGCGCGGCTGCTCTCGCGCGCTCTCTCGCCGTTAAAATTTCGCTCTCGTAATTACATAGCCACGAATATATCGTCTCGCGGGCGGGAGGGAAACGCGGTGATTGCACCGATGGCATCGCGTGAACTTGGCCGCGCGAGTGCCAATTACATAATCGTTTAGCCGAAAAATCGGCCTCCGCCCGTAGTTGCGATCGCACGCAAAGCGCGCCGTATAAATATATCCACCTGCTTCAACCGCGCATTGTTAAAAAAAGAAACCTGCTCCCTCTCTCTCTCTCTCTCTCTCTCCGAAGATTAGATTGGCCGTGCGCGGCGACATTATGCACGCGCCACGCGGAAAGAATCTAGATTTACCTACGCGAGGAATGCCAGATAAGCGCGTTATACTACGAGACGAGATTTTTCGTTATCTCGTTATACCATCCGGTCTCTCTCTCTCTCTCTCTCTCTCTCTCTCTCCGCGCGCGTGTCTGTGTATTTTGCTACTACGCAAGCTACGTCGCGGACATGCTCCTGATGGCAGTTGGGCCGGCGACATGTCATGAAGAGCAACCGCCTCCTGCTTTACTGGTGAGTGTATCTCTTTCGCGTACTCGTGCTCGCTCCATTTAGTTTTTTTTTTTAAAGACCGCGTCTGCTCTCTTTTTTCGCGAGACGCGAGAGCCCTTCGTAGCGCTGTGTAATAACTTACTCGGTGCGTCCGTAATTGCAGGGCAATTAAAATCCGTCTCGCGCGCGCGCGCGCGCGCGCCCAGTGGATGTGGGCCAAAATCGTAATTAATGCCGCGCGTATCGGAGAGTAATAAAGCCCAGCTTTCGACGTTTATATCGCGCGGTTTTGTGATTTAAATTCTATAAGCCGCGCAGGCTCGACTTTTTCCTTTTCGGCAGGATCCCGGCCCAACCAATTTACAGCCTTAGGCCAATCAGACACTGCACTCGTTATACACACATGCACGCCGCGCGGCGCGTTGTTTAACAATCGCCTCTGCCTCGCGCTCGCCTATACGCTTTATTGTCCCCCATGATTTATGAAATATTAAGCGACGACACGCTCTAACGAGGATCTCTCGCGACGCCGAGAGAATAGACACTCGCATACAAAAGCTGCGCACTGCGCGCGCCCGTGATTGATGCTTCTCCACGCGAAATTGAAATTAATTCGACGCGTCCGACATCGCCCCGAAAAAGAAGTGCCTGCGCGCGCGGAGCCCTTTAATTATCCTCCGAGAGACCGCGACGCTCGCGAGAAAAAAAAAAAAAAAAAAAAAGAGAGATTCCAACGTGATGTTACGTGGGGAGGGCTTTTGCGAAAATTACAGCCGAAACTTCTCTGCGTGCCTTGAAAGCACGACCACCGATTGACTCTTTACTCGCGGCGACGGCCAAATTTTAACTTCGCGCGCTCGCCCCAGAACCAGAGAGGTTGCGTTTTAACGTGCGTGTGGTCCATTTATTTGCCAAATTCATCGCTCAACCTTTTCTTTTTCAGTTTCGAGTTAAAGCGATTTATATTAAATTACACGGGGGTAATACGATCGCTTTCCTCTTTCTTTTAGACGATTCACCTGTGCTGCGTAATAAGCTATCTTATCGTTGCGAAGATATCGTCTTATTTTTAGGATCTTGCTGCGTTATTTATTTTTTTTTCGGGTCACGAGCGTTGCGCGAAATTTCTTCTTTTTTTCTCTTTTTGTTTTCAACGGAATCGAGACGCGACAAAAATATTCCACGAAGCAGGCCCGAAATCCTTCCGCAAGGAACGATCGAACGCGAAGAAAATTGGAGTAAACGTCCGAGCAAAAAGGGAATTGTTCATTCGGCCGCTCCACATTCTCGCGTGCAGAAAGCGTGCACGTGCACTCGGAGCGAAAAGAAGTGATACACAAGTCACACGCGTGAGCTACGAGAGAGAGAGAGAGAGCAGTTAAAAAGTTTCTCCGTGATCGTGGCAGCAGCGTCGCGCACTCGCGAATTGCGCTCGCGCGGCGGGCGAAAACGGTTCCGCCCATTTCGCTCGCGTGTTTCTCTCGCGCGCTCGGTGTGCGCGTATCCCCCTACGGTCGAGAAAAACGTTTTTAAAGGCGGGTCTTTATTCTCTGTCTCTTTTGCATACCTTTGCTTTGCGAGCTCGAAAAAAAAAAAAAAAAAAAAAAAACAAATTCTTTTTCGGAAGGCTAATAAACCTGTGAGAGGGAAAAAATCGAATCCACGCAGGCTTCGTAGAAGATTCAATTCACCCTCCGCGCGCTCGAGTCTCATCCTCAACACGGCTATTAGAGCGAAACTTTCTTTCTCTCACTCTCACTGGCGACACATATGTTTTTATTAGCAGTTTGTATTTCGAGCAGATGTTATGCCACACAATACCCCGGCGACATCTCATTGTCGAGGACTTTTTCTCCTCGAGGGTAGCAACACGCGTGCGCGCGCGCGCGTCGCTCTCGATTTTCGTCCCAAAAGGGAAAAAAAGCAGCGGGACGAAGTATCCTGTTTTTCCTTGTGAATGGATATCAACGATGGCCTCGTGAATGAATGGATGCCTAACGTAGTGGGAGGATACATATGCGTATTCATTTATGTAGCCGCAGACGCGTTTACGCGCGGCGCGCGCGTGTCCATTATCGAGCAGCAGCCTCCCCGTCGATGCGCCTTTGATGGTTCTATTAGCTTTTGAAAAGGACGCGTAATTCATGTTTAGGTGGTTTGCAGTAGCTCGTATCCACCACCACCGGCTAATCTGCTATGCGTCCGAACAAGCAAATGTAATTTTGGAGCTGCGACGACGAGAAATATCCACTGGTTTGGTTTTTTTTTCATTCTGCGTGCGGGCAAATGACGTCGTCGGTCTCGTAAAAATTCAACGTTACGTTGTTTGTGGTTCACCGAATGGGCCATCGCATCATCCCCATTCAAAATAAATGTCATCATTTTATTTGTTCTGGTTTTACAAGGTGCCTGTACATTGTGAGGGAAAGGGGCACATAAAACTTACCCCCCTTGTTTTGCAGCCCTCGACAAGGGCATAAAAACAGGTCATAAAAAAGTGAAATATGCTTCCCTTACTATGTACTCGATCCACTCGTGACCTTGATCCTAATCGAAAAAACGTTAACCGCGCGGTTCATCAAGTCGTACGAGTTAACGTATTTATTTGGCAGTAAAAGTGGCACTCGACATGGAGAGAGTGACCATGCGCGTATTCGGAGGTCCTCGTGTTGAAGGGCTACTTTGTGACAATGGGCGCACAATAGATGGCGCGCGTCGAGGGCCTTTTTACGTCGTGTTACCTGCTGCCGCGACAACGAGGCATACACATGAAAGAGAGCGGTTACGCAACATCCTCCGATTTTCATTGTCCGGCGTCGTCACGAATTATACATTCGTTTCAATTTATGACGCCGTATGATTTACATTCCTCTCGCGCACTCTCCGGTTTCGAGATCCTATACGTCGACAAAAGGTCGACCTCTCTCTCTCTCTCTCTCTCCCTCTATTCTGTTTTATGAGAGAGTCTGCGCGTGTACACGCTACGTACGTGAGAGACTGCAAAAATTGCCGAATATAAATTTATACTGATGGATGGGCTATTTGATTATGGCAGCGGCTCGCGAACAAAGACGCCTCCTTTTATTTACGAGCTTTATTCAAAAATGCACAGTTAGGTCGCTGCTACCTGCAAGGAGATTTCCGTTTTTTCTTCACGGCGGCACAAGCAAGTGCCAACGTTTTATGGTAACGACGGTCACGTTACCGCAAAATATTTTCATTGTACGCGTTGATTATTCCAGATTAATTGATTCGATTTTCCTCGGCTGTCATTACAACGGAAGCGAGCACAATCCAATGACATTTGCTCTCATTTTGCAATTAACGGCGTTGTTTTGTAACGTTCAGTAGTAACATTCGTGCAGCCGTACGTCGCTCCGAAGTATTTATGTCCTAACAATGCCGAGTCTCGCTACATTCTTTTATCAGCATATACTCGTTATTTTCTCGCGCATATGCACGCTAACGGAAAGCTTTTAACAAACGCGTGCAGGCAGCGGTTCCCAACAATCTTATCTCCGGCACTTCGAAAAAGAAGGAAAAATTGAAAAGAAGCATGTACGCGCATAAAAAATCAGCGTATACAGGGGGAGGGGGCAGCAGCGTCGGCGGCGCGCGCCCGTCTCTCACTGCACTCGCGCGGTCAGCGAGACATGATTCCTGTCGTTTGTCTCCAGTTCGTTCCGACTCGTCGAAAGCGAAGCGCTGCCTATTGTCCTCCCCAATGTTCCTTTCTCTCTCGGTCCGGCTGCGCTCTCTTTTTTCCCTCCCTTCGTACGTATCGCACGTACGTGCATAACGAACCTCAAATCTATATAACGATACGCCAACGTTTCACGCGATTGCTCTACTCGCCGTCATTTTGCTTTGTTTCATTTTATTTTATTTTACATGTTTTCCGGATAATTGGGTCGCGAAAGTTGAACTTCCGGGATGCGTGGGAAAATTTCGTTGAGACGCGTCGCCTCGACGATAAACGATACACTCGTTGCGCTCCGAGGAGAAGAGAAAATCGCCGGCCAGTTCGCGTCGGCGAAACGAATCTCGAGGATGCGCCGATCAATCTGCGCGTGCAAACAATACGCCCCGAAAGCCTCTCTATCGCGCAAGCACAACAAATCGGCGCTGACATTTCGGTCGATAAGCAAAACGACGCGCAGGAAGTAGAGACGCGATGGATCGGTATCTACGGTGAGTGGCCAGGTTTTAGCGGCGCTCGTTTGACGGCGGACAAAAGCTCGGCTTTCATTCCGGCCACAATGGCGCGCACGGCGAATCGATTAATTAACCAGCGAGTAAAGTGGCCGTGACGCTTCGAAGGAAAACGAGGGAAAAAAAGCACGGACTGCCCTCTTCGATGTCAGCGCGCAACGAGTTGAGTCGCTGCAGGTGCTGACGAAAAGCCGCGAACGTGCATGCGTTTGGTTGCAGCTACGCGTATACGCGTTCGCAGTGAGAAGCAGCGGAAAAGAGAGAGAGAAAAAAAGTCGAGCGAAAGAATGAAAAGAGAGCGTGAGAGAGAGAGAGAGAGAGAGAGAGAGAGAGAGAGAGAGAGAGGAGTAGGGTAAAAAAAAAGAAAGGCAGGAGCAGAGAGCGCGAGAAGAGAAGGAGAGAGAGAGAGAGAGAGAGAGAGAGAGAGAGAGGATCGTAGAGGTAACATCGTAGAGAGGCTGTGGGACCCGATCCCAAAGCAAAAGGTATAGCCGCGGCGAGGCGAGCGAGCAGGAGAGCGCACGCAGCGGCAGCGGCGGTGGCGAGCTAGCAGTCCATCGCGGGCCTTCGTCTCGCGCGCACGCACGCACACACGCACGCACGCACGCACGCACGCACGCACGCAGGCGCGTATCGGGGTGCAGGCACGGCGAGCACTGGTGCGTGGTCCTGGCAGTGGCGATCAGGTGCGCGGGTGCAGAGTGCGCGACAGAGTGCTATGCGGACGTCGGGCGACAAGGCCGACGCGGGAGCACAGCGATAGAGCGAGACGAGGCCGCGGCGACGGCGGCGATGATCACCTAGGGACGCCGGCAGCCAGGCTCACCGACATGCGAAAGCAGGAGGAGGCCGCGGCGGGCGAGCGACTGTGATATGCAAAAGAGAGATGCGTCGCGGCGACATCGCGCTTGCCGCGATTGCTGCCCTCCTCGTACTCGGCCAGTTGCAACCAAGGTACGTCGCGCGACACGCGCAAGCCTCTCGACGCGCGCACGTGCCGTCCTAACGATGCCGGCTGTTAGCTGCTTGATTGACGCCTCGTGCGTGATCTCGCCGTGATCGCGGAAATTTGGCCGAACGACAGTCGGGGACCCTCGACTCGTGCCTGCCGTTCGCCAGGCGCCGCCGGCAGCGAGACGCACCTGTGCTGCGGGCGCGCGCCCCAAAGCCCAGCTCGTAAATCCTTTCTGTCTGTCTGTCTGTCTCTCTCTCTTTCTCTCTCTCTCTCTCTCTCTCTTTCTCTCTGATCGATCCTCGATCTCCTTTTTCCTCGGGCCGACAGTCTGTCGCATTACGAGCCGAGCGTCCATTAAAGTCGCGTAAATTAAAAGGATGCGCGCTCTGCAACAATCAATTGCGCAGATACGGGGGCATTACACGAAGCATCGGCGCGGTTAAATTGCCGGGACTGTGCGCGCGCGTGAGCGGCCTCCCGCAGTGGCTCGGCTGGCCAGGTAGCGTCTTCATCGCCAAGTAGGGGGTAATGACGATGATTACAATGATAATTTAAGAAAATCCTCCTCTCCTATATACCCGCGCCAGCGTACTTGCCTTTATAGTGATGCATTGTGGCGCGTATTTATGATTATTGAACGGAACGCGTATGCCTCTTTTTTTTTTTCTTTTCGTCGATGCTTGTTTTTAATTGAAGGCCTTTTCAGAGAGAAAGAGAGAGAGAGAGCGACAGACCTTCGATGCGTAAATCAGCAAGGATGGCTTTCTCAAAGCCGCGCGCAGTACGAGATTACTTTTTCCTAATTGAATGTCTCGCTCCTGGCCTTTCAAGCGCTAATCGAAATTTCAACCCGGTTTTTCCACGCGACGATCTTTCCCGCTCTCCAGTCAGATTGCGCAAGAGAACGCATCGGTTCGTTCGTCGGAGAAAAAAGGGGGTGGCGATGCCCTCTCGGAGTCTTTAAAATAAGGAATGTATCTTGTTCGACGATAGTCATCAGGCGCCTATGCAGAGAGAGAGAGAGAGAGAGAGAGAGAGAGAGAGGGAGAAAGCAAAATATCTGAAAGAGAAAAGAAGAAAAGAAGAATAATCGCGGCACGCACAGTGGGAATGCGCGCGGCTTCTACTCGCGTCGTTACATATGTAAAAGTGATCGCGGAATCGGCGACGTACAGATTCGACGAAAATCCAATTAAAATAACCCCGCGGAACTTTCTCCCCGCTTTTGTCTCTCACTCTCTCTCTCTCTCTCTCTCCCTCGGTTTTTACGCGAGCGAGCGCGCGAAAAAAAAGCGCGCGCGCACATTGGGGGAGTTGGCTCTCCCGGGCAACAAAGCGCCATTAAAGTATCCCTGGATTCCAACCAGTTTGACGCGCTGCTGACGAGCTGCAGCGGCGAAACTTATACGACAAAAGATTACATTTGCCGAGGAAGAGAGAGAGAGAGAGAGAGAAAGGGGGTAAGATCCGTGGAAATTTATCGCCTGTCCGAGTTGCTCGCAGTTTCCGAATCGTTATTTACTGCGCTGCCACTTGTTTTTTCGCCGAGAAACCATTGTCTCTTCTCCTCTGAGCATTTGCATATAGACTTATCTCTCGATTGAATATGAAGCGAAAAATTCCTCAGGAAGCGTCTTCATTAACGGTGCGTCGTAAAAAAAACGAAGGAAGAAAAAGGCCGCGGAAAGGTGGTAATTCGAGAGCTCGTATAGATGGTCTCTCGGGTTTCGGACGCTGCTGCCGCTTCGAATTTATGCCGTCTATTAAAGCCGCGCATTAGCTTTGACGAATCTATCGGGCGTAAATCTTTGAAAAGAAACTGACGGCGGCGGCTCGCGCACCTGATTTAACGTTGGCGTAACAACTTATTCGACCCGTTTTGCCGGCCGAACGGCGGCTAATCTGTCGTATATCCATTCGGCGAGCCGTAAAGTTTTCCGACGAAAGCGCGTATCGGCGCGGCAACATTTTCCTGCGCTTTATACGCGGACGCGGGAAAACTCCTCGGCGTGCTAAATTAAATCGTTCCCCGCGCGGGCTGCCACTCGTTTACTCTAATTATTATTGCCCACGCGGGCGGCTCGCCGCTGAATCACCATAATTCGCGCGTTTTAATGCAATTATCACGTCGCGCGCCCGTTTCCCCGTCGTCCCGATATACTCTAAATTCAATTAGCTCGAATTTGTCGAGAGATCGGTATCGCGCGCGGATGGATCTTTCGCAACGCGGCCTCGCCTATTATCAGCCGGCAGTCGCCGCGCGGCTTACAGTTACGTCCGCGCCGCGCGCTTTTATCGTTATGTCAATGAGTTATAATGAGCTGTAATTATCCGTCGCGCGGCGCGCTTGTCGACGGCCGACTCGTTTTCCTTTCTTTCGGATTGCCGTTCGATACGGAACTGTTGATCAATTTCCAGCTCTAGCTTTCAATTGCCGTGCGCTTCCCTTTGGAGTGGCTCTCGACTTGCGCACCTAATCCTGTGCCCGTGAAAAGGCTATAAGTCAGATCGGACCTCTCATTAAATTAGCCAGCTCGGCCGAAAAAATACACGCGTTCCCTCGAGACGTCGAACGCGAGCCTGCCAATCGAGGCTGACCAGTCGGCCGCTCAAAGTATAAATCAGGAGGCGAAGCCCGTGGCGTTGCGGCGGTGCGGCAGTCACACCTATGCGCGTGCGTCGCTCTGTCGGTCCGTCCGTCCGTCCGTCCGTCCGTTTGCGCGGAGGAAGGATAAAAGAAAAGAACGAGGCTGTCAGTAGCGTTCCCGAGCGCAGGCATATTACGCGTGCCCCGTATAATTAGCCCGGGGAGCTCGAGCTTGGTCGGGCCAATAATTCTCCTTCGAAAGAGGCGCCAGCCAAGAGGCCGCTTTTCGCCACCTTGTATACCTGCGCCGCCACTCGCATCTCCCGTGGGATCAGATCCCAAAGATAGGAGCGCGAATCGCGATCGGAGAGGCCCCCTTAAAAGCCTCTGCGTGTCGAACAATAACTCTTCGGGCTTTTCCAGCGTGGCCTTTCTCACGCGCGCCGCGACCGCGAGACAAATTCGAGAAACCTCGCGAGAGGCCGAGCTTCGCGCACGCGCGTAGGCAGAGAACAAGGATCGTACGGTTGCCTCGTGGCTTTCCAGGGGGTTCGCCCCCACCGACGCCAATTATCGCTCGATGAACGCCGGCGACAATGATTGCACGAGAAACAAATAAAAGCGACGCCCGCAACAATGTACACGACTGTACTAGAAGATTACACGGCGAGATAAGCGACGAAGCTTTAAAAGCAAGTCCGAATCGCTATGGGAACAGACGTGTCCTTTTTTCGTTTCCTTTTTGCATTAAACCACATTCTCTCCTTGTTGCGATGCACGTCCTCTCGAGCGTTGGGTATATGGATTTAAGAGGTCCGGGGTACGTATGCGCGCAATCTTCACCTCGATCGCCGCACGTCCAAAATGTAGCCTGGACTGTATACGAGTTTTTAGCCACTCGTGCTTTCTCGCGTACGATTGCGACGAGCGCCGCTAGTCACGAGCCAACGAAATGCTCCTCGTTTGTTCCTTAACAGCCGGCTTATAAGGCTGATCCCGCGCGCCTTGCTCTCGTTTTTCATTGGCGAGATCGCCGTCGAACTAGAGTCCTGCGCACGCGCAAAGTGCCTGTTATAGATTGGTCGATTAGCCGCTTATTATAACACACGTTTGCTCGACGAGCAGTGCCTTCCGAAAGCAGGGTAGACGAGTATGCAAAAACACGCCGAGTCCTAACGAGCTGATGCCTATCGGCAGCAACAGCAGCAGCGGCAGCAGCACCAGCAGCAGCACCAGCAGCAGCACCAACAGCAGCAGCAGCACCAGCAGCAGCACCAGCAGCAGAAGCAGCAGAGAGAGCCGTGAGTCAGATTTGAAGGACCGCTCCGCTCGTTCGCGGTCAGGTGCGCCGCCTCGTCCGCGCGCGGATACCGTGGCGCGAGCCACGGCCGCGCGGGACGATCCTCGCGGAAGCGGTAATTCAGAGATACCGATCGCGAGCGCATATGAGAGCGCGATGAAAGGTCGTGGAAGCGTTCTCTCGTTTCATTGTGCGAGGCGAAAAAGCCCACCTGCGACTCGTAAATTCACGCTGCTTCGACAAAGCTCTCTCGCCGCGCGCGCGACGATTTACGGGCATATTCGCGTGTATTTATACAGGCGGAGAGACCACACGTACTCCGAGCGAATCGTGTAACGCAGTCCAGGTGAGTAACGTAATACGACGTGCTCTCTCTTTCTCTCGGCGCGGCGTTCGCGAGCCAACTCGCCCTTTTTTCTCTCCCGGGCGTTCGGCGCACCGGGCTCGCGTCTCCAGCGGGGATTTATCGCGCGCACGCGCGTCGCGGATCGGAAAATTCGAGAGGCCTCGCGCGTTTATGAGCATTGAGCAACGCTGCCTCGCGCGCGCCTAGATTCGCATAAATCTGCGCGGCGAGCGCACCGTGCAACCTCCCACGCGGCCCGAGCCGGGAAAAAGAAAGCTGCCGAGAGGAAGAAACGAGCTCCGGTAATTACTCAATACGCAAGACGGAGAAACACGCGAAGGGGGTAATCGGGAAGCTTGTTTCTGCTTCGCCTTTTTTCATCGACTCACGCGATGCAATATTCGATCTGTCGTGAAAGACACGGCGAGAGAGAGAGAGAGAGAGAGAGAGAGAGAGCGAGCGTGAGAAATATCAGCGATCGGACGATTCCAACTTGCCGTGCCCGAGGCACACTGGACACACGCACACGTTGTTATTATACGTATAACCCGGAGATATACTCTTTCTTTCTTTGACAGCCTTCTCACCGAAGACGTAGCGATGAGCTGTTTAACGCATCTTTTATTTCATGCGCGCGAGTGAATTTTTATTTTATTTTATTCTTCTTTTTTTCGTGTTTTTTTTTTTTTTTTCACGATCTAGTTCCCCGAAGCTATATAAAGGATAATGGCGCGTTGAAGGAACGGATGAGTCAAAATACCGACAG